CCCCAAAACCCCAAAACCCCATTATTTGGAAAATTATTAGAATTTGTGAAAGAATAAAATCAAATGAGAATATTGATTGTTTTAATAGAAATTAAGTATTTTTTGTTAATGTTATTAATTAATCAAATAATACCTGAGATCTTAGGAGCTATATTGTTCTCTCCTCATGTTCTCAGTATCAATCAAACGATTTCCTCTTGGTAATCATCCCTCATTTCATTTTCTGCATCTTCGGCTGTTTATCTGTTCTGTCTCTTGCCAAGACTCACATCATTTAGATTATATAAAGCTGCATCCTTTGGTCTGACTTCCTCTGGCAACTATTCTCTTCTCTTATAGTTGACTTGAATATCTACTTGCTTGTTAATAATCAAAGTCATGAGTTTTTCATCAAGTTTAATCCATTCCTTCAATTTCTTGTAGAAAATCTTAATAGTCTCAGTCAGATCCACTCTCATTTACATACCAGAATCATTTTTCTTAATTCTTATACCAAAGAAATAAGTGTCATTGAATTCAAAGGTAGGATTTGTCAAGTGGTATGATCTTGGCCATGGTCTGAATTCCATAAAATTGCCCTTAATATCGTTGAGCTTCTCTAACTACTGCAATAATTTTCTGATCTTTGATTCTATAAAACCTGTCCATTTCTTGTGGAATTCATCAGTCTTTGATAGGATCTCAATCTGAATAAAATGTACAAAAGTCTTGAAGAAATTAGCCTTTTTGAAGAGACGCTTCCAAGTGAGATCAGGATAAAATTTACTGCCTCTCTCATCTCTCTTAAGCAGGCAATTTGTAATTCTAAGTCCCTTTTCGAACTCAATTAGCATAACTCTCTTTGTTGATTAAGAGACGTTGTAAGTAGCATTCATTGAAGGGAAGGCTGGGGTAATGATTGGCATAAGATCAGTTGATCTTTTTTCATAGAATAAGTCCTGTTCAACTGCAAAATCTACCTTGGTTCTGTCATTTTACAATTCTGTCAAAAGGATAGGCTTCTCAGAACTCCACTCCCACTCTGAATAAGCTTTGAAGAAGTAGTTCAGAAGTTTATTTGGCGACAAGTAAGGGCAAATAATACAAATATTAGCTACAAGAATAGCCCAGGCTACTCCTCCCAAGTAGCCCATAACATTAGAGTATATACCTCTGTTCTTGGCCCATAGTTTGATTACTCTCAGAGTTGTTCTGAAGTTTTCTTTATTCGGGACTAATTTCAAGATGATATCTGTGACTCTGCAACCGTTTAGAGATCTGATGCTCTCTTTATCGCAATTTCTGAGGATATTATCATCTAGAAGGTTTACTAAATCTTGACCTACTTCTTTGTACTCAACTCTGGCAAACAATAAATCAATATCAACTTCTTCGAATTTCATCTTGATTACTGGCACGAAAGCTTCTCTCACTTCAGTCAGCTTTGATACACTAGGATGATTCTTAAGTATTTCAGATAGCTCTCCAAAGAAATGTCTGGTTCTTTCTATGTGTCTGGGAGCAACACACAATGCATCTATATCAGTATCAGGACTATGTACACCAAGACGATAAGATCCAAAAGTAAAGATCTTTCCACCCGAGTTATCAATTGTCTCCTGATCTTTTCCATCTTTTCTACCAGCAAACTTGACCCATTCTTTGATAATGCCATCAAGCTTACCAAGAATAGCTTCTCTTTTTCTCTTATCTGCTTCGCTTTCATACTAATTATAGTCATCTCTCAAAATATCTATGATAATTTAACTCTCTCTTTCGTCTTCAGGAGTTGATCGTTCAAGATGCTTCTCTATTTCAAGAGGCACAACGTTTTTAGATTAATCAAGAGCCTAACCAGCTCCCAATGCTGAGCTTTAAGTCAGCTCTCCAAGTCTATTTAGGGCATTCAAAGCAGATCCACTTCCTGTAGTTGATAATGATCCGTAATCTTCGTTCATTTTAAATTTAATTCACTTAATAAAAATGGTAAAACAATTCTAATTATACCCACTAAAACATTATCTTTAATTTTTAATCATTTAAAGTCCAAATGACCCTAACAATAATTATTAAAACTTATGGGGTTTTGGGGTTTTGGGG